ATTCAGACGAAAATTTTTAACAGTATCGTGGGACAACCGATTTTCGAAAAAATTCGAAAATTAAAAAAATTAATCGATGAATTAAATTTCAATTAATGACGATTGTGGGGCTCAACAAGCCCTACATTTAAAAAACAAGCAGGAGGCCGAGCCTATTCGACTGAAGAGATACACGGAGTGAAATGTACGAGAAAAATTAACGTGCTCGCACAGTAAAGTGGGTTCAGATGGTCTTTCCAGGCGAATGTACCGCAAAGAGTAGGAAAAAATACTGTTGCACGAGTCATTTTTCGGATAAATGCGGGGAAAAATTCTTGTGCAGCACGGTAAAATCGAAGCGACAGTGAATTTTTACGAGAAATGCGAGAAAAATTATGACACTTGCTGGCAAATTTTTCCGCTGCTCTACCAGAATCCTAGGACCCGATCGCGCATTCGTAAGATTTCGGCACTCTTCGTCCCCCCGCCGCAACCGCGAACATCAACGTGACCAGATAATTTTTATTCCGTCGCCTCCTCTCTCACATATCTCCTTACTGAAACCCCAGGTTAATGTTTTTTCATAATATCAATTCAGTGAAATATTAATTAGTGTTGTGATAAAACGATTAAGAAATAAAATAAGTGCCTTTTATTTTCTCTTCATGAGGTGTATAACGCTGTAGAGGTACATTGGCCCGGCAAACGTTCCACATACGTTTGCCGCGCATTCCGCTTTTAATATGGGGAGAGGATATGGAGGAGAGGTTCAAATAAAATTAATAGGATGATATGCTGAATGACAATGTTTACTCATTTTTAACTATTGAATGTAATTTATCATGTAATAGAAAACAGTCAGGGATCAAGCTCTTATTGTACGGTACCGGAATTTTTACTATGCAGCATCGGAATTTTTCTGTTGCTAGACAATTGAACCCACTTTACCAGACGCACGGTAATTTTCGCCTGAATTTCTCCTGAAAAATTCTGGTATTTTTTTCTCCGTCTATTGTAGTCAAATAATAAACTCTCACTTATGTTTTCAGAATAATTTGTATTAGTATTTATTTCTCTCCGCCCAACATTGACAATTTAAATCAACAGTAAGATTTAGTTTCAAAAGAAGATTAATTCATTGTTCCGAGCATCAGTCTTGCCGATTGTTTAGTTTCACGAAAAAAAGCTGCCGTTCCAATTAAAGTAATGATTAGATAATGGAATGTGGAATCATCGTTGGAGAGTTCACTTGCAGGTGCAGGTTTTACAGTTGCATTGGCCTCCAGATTTGCAGGTGCATTGGTCTGAAAAGGTTATAATAATTTTAGGTTTAATTATTTATTTATCAGTTATTATCAATATCGATTTCCATTATCCCATTAGATCTCGAATTCAGGTGGAACATTAAATTCATGAACGTGTGGGACTAAATTTTACAATTATTTTACGGTTTCTATTGGAAAATCATCCATTTTCCGTACTTTTTTAAATATAGAAAAAAGCTAATTGACAGTTTCATATAATCGACTTTTTTTATTTTTTATATAATAATGGACTTCGCTGTATTTTCTGTAATTTCTGCGATTGAGATCTTTCTTCAGCAATTCCTTGCCACATAATTTTTCATGTTCTTCGAAACTAACTCTTCCTCCATTCATTATCTAGAAAATTCTTCTAGGTAAAATATTTACCCAAATAAGTCGCGTAGAAAATTAAAAAACTATGGTTTTCATCGTAGTAGATATTTTTTTCGCCAAAAAAATTCGAGGGGCAGATGTGAAATTTTTAATGAAAATCGGTAAAGAACAAATCGAATAGCAGCATTTGAAGAGAATTGTTCAATGAATGCATTGAGTTGTTCTGTCGAATCTTCTCATACGGGAAGCACAAGAAACATAAAAATTTCGGTCGATTCGTCCGAGTGTATAACGGTTTAGTTAGTGAGGTGTAAAAAAAAGGTAGTACAGTTTGAACTGAAAGTAGCTAACCACATGACCCTACATGGCCTCAATTAAAAACCTTTCGAAAAAAAAAACAAATATTAAACCGACCTGAACATTCACTGCTGCAGCACTTGCAGTTGTCCCCGCATTTGCAGCCGTCCTTGCACTGGGCTAGAATCATACTTAACAATTGTCAGCAATTGGGGATTGAAAAATTGAAAATAATTAAATAAACCCAATCCCATTCGACTGGCAATGTACTGAATCACTGTCAATACTCTGAGAGGCTTTTGCAGGTTATTTCATCATCCTGGAGTCTCCTATATATATGTTACTCCTCAACGAGGAGGAGGGTGGGGTAAAATGGACACTTTAGACTTTTTGAAAATCATTCATAACTCAGAAACAAATTTATCAATTGAGCGCAGTGCAGGCTCACCACGAAGGGAAAGAATTGTTCTTTGCATTGAAAAAAAAAATTATTGAATTTTATCAATATTTCAACCCCTGATTAACATTTTAAAAAAAGTCGAAAGTGTCCGTTTTACTCCAACCTTCCCTATATTATATCAATTCCAGACCTCCTACGCATTACACACTCAAGAGACCAGAGAACTCGTCAGCGGCAATTTTAGTAATCTACATGATATCAAACAGATAAAGCTAATATCGGAGGGGTACATCAAATATCGAAGTAAAAGACAACGGATTCCGGTCCTTGTACTCATTACCTTTGGAAATTCAACGGAATATGGATTTTTGAAACAAACTAATTGGTAATGTGTTAATATATCAACTCCAACGAATTTTTCGAGGAAGCTGAATTATTTCGTCATCCAATACAAATAGAAATTGAAATCAGGAAAAAAATCGAGTCGGACTCAATTAGGTAAATAACTTGAAGGGGGTAATTGGGTCAAATTTTGGCCTTTTTGAGGTTCATACCAGCTGCGTCCCCGTCGCGAACCCTGGATAATGCTAAGTGCTGGTGAGGCCTGATACTTTGAAAAAAAAATAAGTGCTTCACTACACGTTGAATTTATATCAACACTTCATAATTAAAATTTCATAAACTGCTTTTAGAAGGGAAAGCGCAGAAAGGGAAGTCCCGTATATCTACATGAGCATCCACGTTATCAAGTGTGATGGCTCAAAGGAGGTTAAATTCATTTATTGCAACTAGGTTCCGACAAAATACACGTCAAATTACTTCAAGATCAACATAAAAATGTTGATATTTACCTATCAGTATCCCGAATGAGTAGGAGGTGCTATTCTACCTAATTACCAACTAATTACTGAAAATCGAGGCACGAAAGCAAACTTCAATATTAAAATAAGCGTCAAAAACTTCAATTTCAATAAATGGCTTCGCAAATACCAATTTAAAAAATGGAATACTCACAAGAGCACTTATCACAACAGGGTCCTGGCATCTTAATGATTGTAAACTTGATATTCTGTGGAGAACGATATAACTTTGCAGCCACTTATCGTAGAACTGTTTGTGTGAACGCTGTGGCCAGCACCTCGAATTTATTGATCATTCCCCGCCACATTGCACACGGCATACAGTGTACTAGATCCGCGTGCAATGCCTGCGCGAGTGTTTGTCATGCGCAGTTACAAATGGGTAAACAAAATTCATGCAATGTGATTGATTCATCACTGGACGATAAGAGCTGCCATTGGCGCTCCTTGCTGTGGCACCGTGTGCAACAGATCTAGAAACACCGGGCGCTATGATTATGAGTAATCGGTTTCTTTTGAACAATCAATTTATTCGTCAAGGTTCTGGAACTTTCTGAATTTTTTTACCTTTTTTCTCATGAGAGGCATGAAGGCCCGGGTGCACTATCTTTCGAACGTTATCTTGATGTTTTTTTTCATCTTTCGTCATCTGAAATTGTCGATTGAGTCCTAGGACAATTGAGATCCCAATCTCGAGATCACTCCTATTCCAACCAATTGGAATATGCAACATTCATGCAAGCGATTCATGGAAAGTTCCCGAGAAATTCAAATTTTTCCATTTTCCGCTAAAAATCCGTCTTTGCACTCTAACTTTGGAAACAATTGACATGGTAATCCGAAGTTTGGCACGAAGTTTCTTCTTGTTTTACTTGAAAATTGAGAAAATCGGAGAATTTGCGTCTTCCAGAACCTGAAATTTTTTATTCAACACAAAATAGAATTTTTATCTTCTCATTATTTTTAAAAAATAGAATTACAACGGAGCCATTCGGAAGCTTACTACCAATGAAATTGGTAGAGATGAAAGATAAAAAGACTAACAACGCATAAAGAAACAATCATATATGACTGCAGAAAACCTCGAATTTTATTTGCAGTTTCAGAAACCTATAATTAATAGTCAATTCAACTAATAATTGATAATTATTTTGCGGTGATTGTCGTCACGCTGATGGATGATTGAAACTTGATGTTCTATACTGCGATCTTATTCAGTTTGTTGAAGTAAACTATTCAAATTATTTTTTACGTTTGGGAATATACATTCTTCGTGAAAAATTTCCAAAGAGAATTTCCGAAAGAGCAAAATTTTTGCCAAATTAAATATTGGCAAATATTAATGTAAAAATAGAATTTCACGTATGAAAAAATTCAATAGTAAACCTAGCGAACTCGCTAGGAAATTCTATTGGAATTCTCTGTTGAAAAATTCGATTTGTTTTTTGCGCTGATTTTATTGGATATTTAATAAGAAAAAGTCAATAGATTTCTAATTTGTTTGAGTTTTTTCCTTAGATTTTTTCTATTAGAATTATTGGGGACAAATTTTCTAACGGTCTCACCGCACAGAGAATAAACATTAGTGACCATGGTTGAAAAAAAATTTGTTACATACGCACACACACACACACACACACACACACACACACACACACACACACACACACACACACGTACAGACGAGGTCTAAAAATAGCATTTTCAGACTTTTTGGATCATACTGGGTCGATATAACACAAAAAATCCGAAACTTAAATTTGAACGATTACAAAGCTTCCATCTGGAAGCAATAAAACATGAAAAATAACCTTGAAACTCTTTGTCTTCTGCTTAATGTTTCATTTATTAATTAATCATCAATTATTTCACAAATAAATTTTCTTCACTCGAGATATCGTAATATCCAGAATTATGATTATTTACAATGGACAGACTAGACCCCGTGGGGTTCATCATTCTCCTTCATTAACGTTTTATCATCAATTTTTCCTGCTATCAATCTTCCACCTCTGTAATCATTAATTAATGATACTTTTAACCATCAAAACGTAATAAAAAATCATTTGTTCAGTGAACTTATGAGCTACCGATGAAGGGTTTGCCTCGATCAATAATCCTCTCGGTGTCATTCAATTTTTACCGATTATGCACTATTTATTGTTCCTCAGTAACAGCTGAAACAAATAAAAAATTTGTTTTTCGAACTAAAAAAATTAATTTCAAACTAAATACTCAGTGTTCAAAACTTTTCTGTTAGTTTTCATCACTTCTGGAGTGGAAACGGAAATTTATTCAACGCCAAGTCCATTTTTTATTAATTAAATAAAATGATACTGATTTTTAGACATTGTTTTCAACTCGGAAATGCAATTATGTAGTTAACTTCTCAAATATCTTGGGAATGAATGGGTTTAGGAGAAAATATCAAATAACATTTTTTTCAGAGAATTCGATTCTTCACAAAAAATGTCTTGTGACATTTTCTCTTAGAGTCGATAATTACTGAGATAATTAAGAATTTAACGAACGAGAAATTCCAAATCACTCATAAAGCCTATTTTTTCGATGAGAATTTCACAAAATAAACAGCAGAACTATAGCTCCTCACCAAGACGAGTGTATTCCACAGATAATGGCTATTTATTCATATAAAAACCCTTCTTTGGCTATTTTCGATTATTTCCATAACTTGAATGTTTCCTTCATTAATTAAATAGTTACGATTTTTGTATTTATTCAGTATTCTGTTGTTTTCATCATTCACATCATGTGTTGACCATTGGGGGGAGCATATTGGGGCTGTTGGGGTGGGCCCTGCGGTCCTGGGGGTACGTATTGTTGTGGCACACCTTGAGGTGGAAATCTGCAATTCGAAATCAATTAATTAATGATAATCTCAATTTACCCCATTAAATCCAATTAATGAAATTTAATTCAATTAAATTTTCTTTTGCTTTTTAATTCAAGTTTTTATCGTGGGAAAATTGATGATGAGGACTTACCCTGGTGGTTGATAAGGCAAACTGGTTTGTTCTGGTGCCTGACTCGTTAAATTTCCTGGCGGCATTCCCTGTGGATGATGTTGTGGCCCTTGAGACGGTGGATGATGCCCGTGGGGGCCAGGATGTCCCGGTGGATGCTGATGGTGTCCAGGGGGTAGATGATAATGCTGGGGTATCGACATGCCTGGCATCGTGCCTGAGAAACAAAACAACAAGTTAATTCTCAACTATTCATTTTTTCGCAAGTTTTTATTTGATTATTCTCTGTTTTCAAATAGAAAAAATTATCCTCTGTTCAACGTCCAATTATCTCTTTTTTGTTCTATTTAATTGCTCCAAACTTTACCAGTTTATACAGCTGAATATTACTAGAGAGATTAGAGATTATTAGAGTCTTCTAAACCATTATTTCACTCGGCCTCTCAACAATGAAATTTTTGCCATTTGTGATAACACTTCGAATGCGCGGAGCACTTGCTAGACACGTCTGCACGCTACGGTGCCTCGAGTGAGACTCCGTCCAATTATCTGTGTAGTTATCAATCTGACGATGAAAACCCACTAAACCACTTTTGTAAAGAATTAAATTCCCCTCAAAAAATTTCTTCTAAGAATTTCTCCCGAACCCACTCATTAACGAAATAAAAATAAAGAATGATTTGAATTTTACCTGGTGGCATGTACTCGCCTGGTGGCATCGAGATATTTGGATTGAAGTTCCCTGAGAACTGGTGGTGTCCTGGCATTCCATTGAACATGTGTGGGGGCTGATTGGGGTAAGGATAGACTGGGTGATGTGGCATTTTACTGTATGTATAGCTAGGAGTGGGGGGTGGGGGCTCTCTTTGAAGAGTGTGATAAAGATTCAGGGCGTCCACGAGGTCTGACGAGAGCTGGGTCAGCTGGGCGTGCCTCCTGTCGACTTTCTCCAGGGCTGCGTCGATCAGGGGACCCATTGCCATCACTTGTTCTAAAATTTTCAATAACACTCATCAGTTAGTCACCCCTAAAGCAGCTGCAAAACCTTAAAAACAATTTTAATATTGAATTTTCGAGAAAAAATTCTGACTAGTTATTCTTTTAATTATCTCGAGAATGAATTATCTCGAGGGTCACGAGGAAATGGCAGAAGAAAGTTTTTGGAGAAAATTAAATTTTTGAGGAAAATTCTCGTTTCACTTTTTGTTGTTGAAAGTAATGAATTAATTAATAATCAAGGAGGCAGTTTGAGAAAAGGGTTTATTCTTCGTAATTTTCACCTTCAAGATCTAATAATTCAGCTGGATCACTGGTATCACTCTGTGGATCAGCTTCATGCAACAAATGCAGCAGTCTATCAATCTTCCCTTCGTTAATCTCAACTTCAATGATCTCAGGCTCCCTCTTGAGTGTCTTCACCTCCACCTCCTCGACAAATTGCACCGATTTTTTACTCCCCTGCTCCAGCTTTGTGATGTGCTCAGGCTCCACTGACAAATCAGCTGTTACGAAATTAGCTGGGAACAGTCCCTCCATCTTTCCTCGAACACCCTTCCACCAGTTGGCATCAGAATCGTCCAGAATTAGTACTAAAATGAATGAATCATGAGAAATATGAATGGGAATGTGGAGGTGAGCAGGTTATTAATGAAAACTCCAGAGATCCAACGTTAGGACGCATGGAGGATTATGGCAATAAACGGGTCTTGAGGTTTATGATACGGAAATGGATTTTTAATGTGGGAATTGGCCCAATGTCTCGACAGGAAAATTGGGGAGTTGGCCCAATGTCTAAAGAGGAAAATTGAGTGTGCGTATGTGTGTGCGTGTGTGAATGACAGAGATGGAGTGGAGACACAGTCACCACAGGAATGTTAATTTTTCAAGAAAAAAAAATTAATTTAAGGCCCGGGTGAACTATCTTTCGAACGTATCTCGATTATTTTTCCATCTTCATAATCTAAAATATATCGCAATTTCGATTGGATTTTACATCACGCCGAAGTCCCTAAAAATTATGATTGTATAATAAAAAAAAAAGAAAAAAAATTGAACATTTTCAAAGAGCGTTTTTAATAAAGATTAAGAAATAAGTCTAATAGAGAAGAAATAGTGAATGGATAATTGATCATGATAACTAACGATCTAACAGCCACTGACTACTGCGACTACATAACAGCCATTAGATACATTAAATAATTAATTTGCAATTTCCTCTCTACTGGGTTTATTTCCCCATATTATTCAAAAACGCTCTTTGAAAATGTTTAGATTTTTGTCAACGTTTTTTGGAGACTCCAAGGCTATGTAAAACTGAATAGCAATTGGAGATCATTTTAGTTTATAAAAACAAAAAAAAGCCAAGATCACGTTGGAAAGATGATCCATCCGGGCCTTAAAAATGAAAAATTCACTCACTGATATCTCCAGCAGCAAAACTCAACTCATTGTCCTCAGCAGCTTCGAAATCGTAGAGAGCCCTGACCTTTCGTTTCTCGAAGATGCTGGAGGCCATGGAGGCACTGACACTGGGGTAGAGGCTCGTACTCTTGGGGGAGTTGTGGGAGTCCTGGCCTTTCTCTTTGAGAGACAGTTCGATGGCTTTAGCGAGATCTGCCTCCTCGCGAGAAGCATTGGCTAATGCTGTGGAACAGGCGTGCTTGTGGGGCTCGGTGAGCCCCGAGAAGTCAATTCCATCCTGCTTCAGCTTGGCATAAAGACTCGGAATCAAGTTGAGTTGTGGGTCAGTCTTGAAGTCCCCCTCAGACCATTTCTTTATCAACGCTTTAGTCATCTCGACTAGCTTGGGCTGGGAACGGCCCAGGAGCTTCTTCAACTCTCCCTCGAAGTCTCGGGAGGCGATTTCCAGGAGAAAGGGCTTGCCACAGTTGCTTGCACACGCCTCCAGCAGCTGAGGAGGTACGATTAATTATGGGATTCGTTTCCCCAATTGCTTAACTACATGATAATCACGGCAATTTAGCAAATTGTTGACTGAATTGAATGACAACTGTGCGAATGAATCGTTTCCAACAGCAGAAGAGAATCATTTCGTTTCGGGGAAAATGTCAAGAGCCATTTTTGTGGAGAATTTAATTCTCAACAAAATATATCTTCAGACATTTTTTCCTAGAATTGATTTTTGAGGAGATAATGGCTTAATTAGGGGGATTAATTGGGTCTGTTTGTGGTGGATATGAACTACTTGAAGATTTTTGGAATAATCTTTTGAAAACATTCGGTGGATTATTATTTTTCATTACTCACTTCGCAATTTCAATAATTTTCAGGTAATTTTGAGGTTTAGGGGAAAAGTAAATCGAGCTGAACGTTTCAATTTCCGGTACTCATGCGATTATTTGGAAACTCACAGTTATGGCTTGCATGACGACATGAGGATCTTGGTGATTCAGTCTCTTGACGATGGACCTCAGACAATCCTTGGCCTTAACACTGGAGCTTCCTACATTGTCACATACATCCATTATCCTCGCCCAGTCCTCAACCGTATTTTTCTCATTGGTCGCCTTTTCTGTTCCCCATAAGTGAAAAAATTCTACGTTAATTGGGCTTTCATTCCCTCACAATGATACACTTCGTCAGAAAAAATGGGGGTCATGGGTCACACGAACTCTTATCTCCTGACAAACATATTCCCTCCTTATGAAAACTTTCTTTTCACTTCAGTGCAACAAAAAATCAAGAGATAATTGACAAATTGTGCTCTTTTTTCGTGAACATCTCATAAAAAAAGGAAAACCATTGAATCAAGAAGAAAACATCAACTAACATTTTTATAGAGAATTAAGGCCCGGGTGTGCTATCTTTCGAATGTTATCTGGATTTTTCTCATCTTTCGTAATCCAAAATGGTCAATTGAGTGGTGCATCATGTAGAAATTCTCAAAAATTATGATAGCATGATATTAAAAAAATAGAAAAAATTCTGAACTTTTTCAAAAAGCGTTTTTAATTGGGGTTCAGAATGAGTTGAAAAAAGTGGAAATTACAAATATCTGATTCGCTGTGGCAAATTATCTATTAGCTGTCATTTTTCATTGTGGATAACAAAACGCTGACTCCTCATGGGAAGTGACAGCTAGGTATCTCAATTTTCAAAACAGTGGTATGTAGTCATCTGCCATTTTTATGTGATGAAAGTGTGATTAAAAAATTCTCCAAAATATCACAACTTTTTTCAAAGAGCCTTTTCCGTAATAAACGTCTCTGTGCAGCGTGGGAAAAGATTTACGAAATCAGCCCTCCCCCTGCATGATATTGGGTGACAGGCCGCCACTTGTCACCGTAAATCAGATACATTTTTCAATTTCTTGTTATTCAACTGATTCGCGAATACAAATTAAAAATGCTTTTTGAAAAAATTAAGAATTTCTTCTACTTTTTTTTGATTATTCATTCATAATTTTTCAAAACTTCTGCATGATGCAGGACTTCATTGACAATTTCAGATGACGAAGGATGAAAAAAAACATCGAGATAACGTTCGAAAGGGGAGAGTGGGGTAAAATGGACACTTTAGAGTTTTGTTTTAATTACTCATAACTCAGAAACAAATTTATCAATTCAGCTCAGTTTAGGCTCATCACAAAGGGAAAGAATTGTTCTTTGCAATGAAGAAAAAATTATTAAATTTTATCACCATTTCAACCCGTCATTAACATTTTTAAAAAAGTCAAAAGTGTCCATTTTACCCCAACTTCCCCTACACGCGGGCCTTAAATTCCCAAACTGAATAAACCAAAAAGATACACGGAAGATAGGGTGAAATGGACACTTTTGACTTTTTTAAAAATATTCATAACTCAGAAAAAGATTTATCAATTGATCTCAGTCTCAGCTCATCACAAATAGGAATCATTGTTTTTCAATTGAAAAATAAAATGATTCCATTTCATAAACAATTCAACACGTCATGAATATTTCAAAAAAAGTCCAAAGTGTCCATTTTACCCTACCCTCCCCTAAGTAATTTTACATTGATTTTAAATTCCGAAGATTTTGTTCTTTTGACATTCTCCTCTCCATCTCCTCCGCCCCGAAGAGCTCCAAAAAATCATCCCCAGGCCTTCCCTTCCCCACCCCTCAAGCACCCAAATCACCTAAATCAGATCATCAACTCGAGGTCATTGAACACAGAATCACATGATTCCTGCAATGACTCGGAATAACCGAAGCCAAACAACAATTTCTCCAGTCATCGAAAGCCCACCTCCCACCGCCCCAAGACGACTTGGCACCCTCAGATCTCCAAAAAAAATCACAAAAAAAAACCCTGAAAATTGTGCTCTCCTGAGACACCGTCGAACCCCAATGACACCTCATAATCCCTCATAACCGAATTAAGATTGAGGTTAAAGGGTGTCAGAGGCGGGTGGGAGGAGGTAAATGGGAGTGATAACTCACCGACTTCGGCGTCAAGGGGCGATGTGCTGCCAAAGAGAAACATTCTGCTCACTCGGGATGATCACCAAATGATCGTAAATACCACTGATAACTGACAACTGATTACACATAAAACGAAATTATTGAACTATTGATGAAATTATCACAACAATTTTCACTTGACGAAATGTTCTGAGCGCTCGAATGACATCTAGTCAGAATGGAACACACAAACCCGATGACTAATAACACGAGATGTGTTGCGCCATCTCCAGGTTAATTTTTTTAAAGATGTATTGATTATGGACTGGTAATTTATCGACGAATGGTGTGGAAAAACGGTAGAGGATGCCGGTCAGGTAGAACACGATATAATCGTCAGGTAGGAAATTAAATCTATTGAAAATGAATATTTTCATCACGCTGTGACGAAAAGTGAACTTTTCGGCACGCTCCGCGTGCCTAAAAGTCCAATTTCCGCCACATTGTGATGAAAAATATTGTTCGTAACTCGTGAAAAAATGTTTTTTAGCTCGTGGAATAATATCACTCGCCTTCGGCTCGTGATATAAACTTCCCACTCGCCAAAAAACACTTTTTTGCACTCGTTACGAAATATACTATTTCATCACGCTGTGACGAGAAGTGAACTTTTCCGCGTGCCCATGCTCCGCGTGCCTAAAAGTTCACTTTTCGTCACAGCGTGATGAAAAAATGTTTTTTGCACTCGTTACGAAATATATTATTTCATCACGCTGTGACGAGAAGTGAACTTTTCCGCGTGCCCATGCTCCGCGTGCCTAAAAGTTCACTTTTCGTCACAGCGTGATGAAAAAATGTTTTTTGCACTCGTTACGAAATATATTATTTCATCACGCTGTGACGAGAAGTGAACTTTTCCGCGTGCCCATGCTCCGCGTGCCTAAAAGTTCACTTTTCGTCACAGCGTGATGAAAAAATGTTTTTTGCACTCGTTACGAAATATATTATTTCATCACGCTGTGACGAGAAGTGAACTTTTCCGCGTGCCCATGCTCCGCGTGCCTAAAAGTCCAATTTCCGTCACATTGTAATGAAAAATATTGTTCGTAACTCGTGAAATAGTATATTTCGTAACGAGTGCAAAAAAGTGTTTTTTGGCGAGTGGGAGGTTTATATCACGAGCCGAAGGCGAGTGATATAATCCCACGAGCTAAAAAACATTTTTTCACGAGTTACGAACAATATTTTTCATCACAATGTGGCGGAAATTGGACTTTTAGGCACGCGGGGCGTGCCGAAAAGTTCACTTTTCGTCACAGCGTGATGAAAAAATGTTTTTTAGCTCGTGGGATTATATCACTCGCCAAAAAAAACCTTTTTGCACTCGTTACGAAATCTACTATTTCATCACGCTGTGACGAGAAGTGAACTTTTCGTCACAGCGTGATGAAAAAATGTTTTTTAGCTCGTGGGATTATATCACTCGCCAAAAAAAACCTTTTTGCACTCGTTACGAAATCTACTATTTCATCACGCTGTGACGAGAAGTGAACTTTTCGTCACAGCGTGATGAAAAAATGTTTTTTAGCTCGTGGGATTATATCACTCGCCAAAAAAAACCTTTTTGCACTCGTTACGAAATCTACTATTTCATCACGCTGTGACGAGAAGTGAACTTTTCGTCACAGCGTGATGAAAAAATGTTTTTTAGCTCGTGGGATTATATCACTCGCCAAAAAACACTTTTTTGCACTCGTTACGAAATATACTATTGTTTTACCGAGGAAAGGTGTAGGGCGAACAGGCCAATAGGTGGACTCGACTGTTAATAAGGGGTTGAAATGTTGATAAAATTCAATAATTTTTCTTTCAATACAAGGAATAATTCTTTCCCTTTGTGACGAGCCTAAACTGAGCTCAATTGATGAATTTGTTTCTAAGTTATGAATAATTAAAAACAAGATCTATGCGCGCGCTCTCGCGCACGCTGATCTATTCATTTGTTGAAATGAAGAAATGGAATTCATTGAATTTTATTTTCTCATGAATACCTTATAAATATTGATAATGAATCAAAGAGAATTCGACTAATGATTGAAGTGAATAGCGAAGTAGAGTAAAAGAATCTATAAGGAATTTTTCATTTTCAATTAATTATCTTCAATTTTTTTAAATAATCGGTCTCCATAAAAGGACAGAGATTATCAATTTCACCGATGATATATGTACATGTGAAATATATATATATGACGTGAAAAAAAAATTTACCACTGAAGAATTTGAAATTATGTCACTGAAGAATTTCAGAATGCCGCGTGTTTTTTTTGTGAATAACTTCGTGTCACATATTGACTAATCAGAATTAAGGATGAGCGGTCAGGCGTTTCGAGATATTTCGATATAAAACAACTTCACGTTTCTTTCATCTTTAGTAAATAGGAAAAAGTCTAGTGTCCGTTTTACCCCACCCTCCCCTACCTGACCGATTTCACCTTTTATTGAATACTCTACCTCCATATGAGTCATGAGGGTTAAAATGCGGGTCACGAGGGTCAGAATAAGGGACACGAGAGTCAGAATGAGAGTCACAGGGTTCAGATTAAGGGTCACAAGGGTCAAATCGAGGGTAATGAGGATTACATTAAGGGTCAATGGCCTGTTTACTTCATAATGTTATTATCTAAATCATTTGTTTTGATGCTCTTCAATAACTGGAAAAATTCTGATAAAAATCAATGGAATTATCCAATTTTCCAGTATTTTTAATTGAATACAAGCGAATGCCAATTAACTAGTCTTAACTCAATATTAAAATAAGTCTCATAACAATCGCAGTGAAAATCTTACGCATTTGACTTCCGCTCCCTTTCGTTTCACATAGACTCGAGCCTCCAGAGGTGTCTGGAGTGTCGTTTTTTCCCTCGTAATGTGGGATTATAAGACCATTCATTATTATTTTTTTCCCCTCTCTCTTTCGTTTCACCTCGCGCTCTTCGGGTCAACAGATCTTGCGACGGAAAAAGGTGGCCGAGGTCTTGATTAAAAATGAGGGAAATATTTTTTTTATTGTTTAGGTAAACAAAGCGCGGTTTTTTCCCTCTAAATTGTCATTTTTTCCCCTCTTTGAGTGGAAAATTTGTCAAGGAACAGGAGTGATGATTTCCTTCAAGGCAATGAGATGAAGCATAATTACACGTCCAGGACAATTTTGTGGGCGCCTTGGATGTTGCAAAAGCAATCAACGGAATAGAATATTGTATGTGCGGGAGATGTGATGAGTGGCCACCGCCGCATCGAGTGCAAGGAAAATTGGCACTTTCCAATTATATTTCAAGCGGCCGAGGGATATAGAGCAATTTTACAGTCGTGGTTTTTCATAATTTTGCAATTATTTTTCATGAAAAATTAACGGAAGTGAGAATTATTGGACGTAAATGTTCAAGGGGGCATTTTTTTACATGGACAACTGTTTTGTGATGAATAAAACAAAATAGTTTTGTTAAAAAACGTGATTTCCATTTCAAAATGCGGATTAGGCCAATACAAAAGGAATTCAACTGAAAATTGACCGAGAAAAAAATAAAGTTTCATCTATCTAGATGAAAAATGACCGTCATTTTTTCTTGACAAGTTGCGACGGTCACAGAAGGGGGAGGGGGAATGTGACAGCCGTCATGAACGGCTCGTGATGTGACCGTAAATGACGGTCACATGACCGTCATATGAAGCATTTGCATCTCTAATGACAAAATAGTACTTTTCGACACTAGGCCGTGAGGAACTTTTCTGGTGAATATGAGGTTGCAGGACGAGCCGAAGGCGAGTTCTGTAATCATATGAGGTAAATCGCGGTTTTCGGGCCTAGTGGCGAAAAGTAACTTTTTAAGCACGCTTCGCCTAAAAATAACAAAAGTTTTTCTTTTCTTTTCATTTGAAAATGTGAATGAGTCGACGTTTTCCCCATTTTTTTGGGAAATAGAAGAAAATTGAAAAATTAAAATGAATTGATGATTTCTCATGCAAAAAACGGAGACGAAATTCGGAATGTCTCATGCTGAATTGAATGGTATTCACGGGATGAAACAATCTAAAAAAAAAGTGGTGGTGAACCTTCGAACGTTCACCGAACTCGGACGTTTTAAATCGTCCAGTGATCTCCCACCTGGTGCTTCCCCATCTCAGCAAAACTCTCGCGCCTTTTACGATCCAACGCAGTCTCCATTCTATTTCCAAGCGCACGACAACTCCGAGGGGAGTAATAATAAGAGACAGAAGAATAGGAAAGGGCAGAATATTTTTTTTCGCATATTTTTATTTCCATTTTTTTACATTTTTTTAATTTTCAAAATTTTCGTCCGTGAACATTGTGAGTTTCTTGTGAATTGTGCGGGGTAAAATGGGTCGTGCACTGGTGTTTATGTTGTGGGGATTCACTGCGATTGGCCTCGCACATGCAGGTGCCGAGCCGGAGGTGCTCCCTGGAAGTGATTTGAGTAATTTCTCAGGAGTAAGTTGATTTTTATTTTCATTAATTTTTTTTCCAATTATAAATTAATTTGGAAGCTGCAAAAATTCGGAGATGTGAATTGGATGCTAGCGATTGCCGCAATAATTTTTTATTCCGAAATTTTTACGGTCTTTGTTGTTAAAAAATAATTTTCATTGAACGATGTAAATTTTTAACGCATTACTGGAGTGAAAATGAGGGAAGATGACTGATTTTTTTATTCATATTTTAATGACATCTGTCATGCTCGAAAAATCATCTCGAACGTGCAGTTAGCCTCAATCGTATTTCGATTAGTCACGGAAAATTTGTTTGAAAAAATTGATAGAAATGATGTAGTGGGTCAGAAGTCAGTCTGTCAGTGGGTGAATGTATGGACTCGGTTCCACTTTCCTGTGCAGGCCGCAATGCCCGGTGTCCCGTGGTTGAGATCATTGTATCCCATATACATTTTAAATGAGGAAAAAAAAATAAAGCCAAAATTCTGAAAATTGAATATACCCTGGAAAAGGTGGAAATAATTGCTCGATTATGTGATTCTCTTCGGGAGTTCATTCCAAAAATTTCCATCTAGTTCATTTCCACCACAACGAGACCCAATTAGTCTCTCTAATTAAGCAATTATCTCCTGAAATATCGATTCTATAAGAAAATGTCAGAAGATACTTTTTGTGGAGAATTAAATTCCCCACAAAAATGACTTCTGACATTTTTCTTTAAACCGGAAATTGCAACGTTCAGGTCGACTTACTTTTCCCCTAAACCTCAAAATTACCCGAAAATTATTAAAAGTGCGAAGTGAGTGAAAAATAATGAATGAACAATAATAATCCACCGAATGTCTTGAGGAGATGATTCCAAAAAATTTCAAATAGCTCATATCCACCATAACAAGACCCAATTAGTCCCCCTAATTACGCAATTATCCCTTCAAATATAGATTTTAGGGGAAAATGTCATAAGACATTTTTTATGGAGAATTAAATTCTCCACAAAAATTATTTTTGACCTTTTCCCCTAAACCTCAACATTCTCCAGATAATCTCACGAGTACCGGAAATTGAAACGTTCAGCTCGACTTGCTTTTCCTCTAAACCGCAAAATTACCCGAAAATTATTGAAATTGCAAAGTGAGTAATGAAAAATAATAATCTCCAGGAGATTTTTTATGTTTTTTAAAAATCTTATTTCACATCGCTTCGACTCGGTTGAGTATATTGCAATGATGATCAAGACTAAATGGTTAGATCTCACCATTCTACCTGACCGGGAGTCTTCAGGAGATGATTCCAAAAATTTTCAAGTAGTTCATATCCACCACAACAAGACCCAATTAGTCCCCCTAATTACGCAATTATTCCCTCAAATATCGTTTTTAGGGAAAAATGTCATATACACTTTTTGTGGAGAATTAAATTCCCCACAAAAATTATTTTTGGCATTTTTCCCTAAACCTCAACATTCTCCAGATAATCTCATGAGTACTGGAAATTGAAACGTTCAGGTCGACTTACTTTTCCCCTAAACCTCAAAATTACCTTAAAATCATTAAAATGGCGGAGTGAGTAATGAAAAATACTTTTTCTCTAAACCGCAAAATTACTCGAAAATTATTGAAATTGCGAAGTGAGTAATGAAAAATAATAATCCACCGAATGTTTTCAAAAGATGATTCCAAAAATCTTCAAGTAGTTCATTTTCACCACAACAAGACCCAATTAGTCCCCCTAATTACGCAATTATCCCCTCAAATATCGTTTTTAGGGAAAAATGTCATATACACTTTTTGTGGAGAATTAAATTCCCCACAAAAATTATTTTTGGCATTTTTCCCTAAACCTCAACATTCTCCAGATAATCTCACGAGTACTGGAAATTGAAACGTTCAGGTCGACTTACTTTTCCCCTAAACCTCAAAATTACCTTAAAATCATTAAAATGGCGAAGTGAGTAATAAAAAATACTTTTTCTCTAAACCGCAAAATTACTCGAAAATTATTGAAATTGCGAAGTGAGTAATGAAAAATAATAATCCACCGAATGTTTTCAAAAGATGATTCCAAAAATCTTCAAGTAGTTCATTTTCACCACAACAAGACCCAATTAGTCCCCCTAATTACGCAATTATCCCCTCAAATATCGTTTTTAGGGAAAAATGTCATATACACTTTTTGTGGAGAATTAAATTCCTCACAAAAATTATTTTTGGCATTTTTCCCTAAACCTCAACATTCTCCAGATAATCCCATGAGTACCGGAAATTGAAACGTTCAGCTCGACTTACTTTTCCCCTAAACCTCAAAATTACCTTAAAATCCTTAAAATGGCGAAGTGAGTAATGAAAAATAATAATCCACCGAATGTTTTCAAAAGGAGATTCCAAAAATGTTCAAGTAGTTCATTTTCACCACATACAAACCCAATTAATGCCCCTGATTACGCAATTATCTTCTCAAATATCGATTTTAGGGGAAAATGTCAAAAAATACTTTCTATAGAGAATTAAATTCTCCACAAAAATGATCTTTCATATTTTTCGCTAAACCTCAACATTCTCCAAATAATCCCACGAGTACCGGAAATTGAAACGTTCAGCTCGACTTACTTTTCCCCTACCTCAAAATTACCTGAAAAAGATTAAAATTACGAAGTGAGTAATGAAAAATAATAATCCACCGTGATGAAGCCCACGCGAACGTCTTCAGGAGATAATTAGCATGATTTACATTTCCCTCGGGTGTGTTACGTTACTTAAAAATAATCTAAAACAGATAATTCAGTTTGTAGTAAAACCAAAGGCGCAATGTCTGCTCCATATACCCAGGTAATTGTCGAAAATTAGTGCTCATTACGACCGTTCCCAAATACCTCAACTGGCATGCAAACTCATTAACTTATTACGTGAAATTATTCCCTCCTGGTGTTGGAAACAATTCATTTAAATAGTTATAATTTTTTTCACTTGTAAATATAGAAATGGGTGAAGGTGAAATACTTCTGGTAAGTCAGTTACCCAAATTGCTAAATTGACGGTATTATTTTGCGGTGCATTTATGCTAGTTTAGACCCTCAACGCATGAATCAGGCGAAAATTGAAAATTCTCGGGTAAATTAATTTCCGCATAATTAATCATCTTCGTCCTCTGGCGTCGCAGTACCAGCCTAGTCCCGTAACGCGGTATTCGCGCCCGGAACTGCGTCTGTAAAATATTTCAAGCGAACGGATCCGAATGCCAGATAAAAGAGAAAGGGGAGAAGAAAAAACGGGTGCAAATTCGTTGAAAAAAAGTGAGAATACAGTGAGGTCGAATGAGCGATGGCAATGATGGTTGAGGTAGATAATGCCCCGTACTCACAGAGACACGAGATTTCCGCTTTTTCGGACGGCAATTACGAAATCAAAGGCGAAAGGTCGAGACCAATTTCACAGTCACCATTTTTACGCGTTTTTTTGGTATTTACAGACCTTTGGACTTTTCGTGTTCTAGGTCGCGAGGAAATCCAGGGGAATTACATGTTGGCAAATTGTGATAATTGTGCAAGAAATGGAAAAATGTCGAGTTGAGGTTGTTAGGGATATTCAAGTATGTTTTGCAGTTTGGTACAGACCACATTATAGATTCAGCCATTTTCAATCATAAAATTTGTCAATTAAATCTCATTTCCTTCTATCATGTATAATTCAGTAGCGAAGTGGTAGAACGCTATAAGTCAATTTTGACTATTGACCAGTTTTCAATAAATATCTCGGAATCTAAGGAAGTAAATATTAAAAAAAAACAGAATCTAAGGGAGATGGCAAAATTTTTATTATGACCTTTTTTGTAGAGCCGATTAAGGGCTACATTAAATGTAATCACGAAAATTTCGCTATCTCCGTTAGATTCGGAAATATTCCTCAAAAACTCAATTGGGAGATGAGTCGACTTAAACCGGTTTACCACTTCGCTACTGAATTCATTGTTTATTTCACTTGATTAAATTCAATAAGATTTTTTTAAAACTAATTTTGTCAGATTTTCCTCTTAGTTGACTGTTATCATCATCATTATTCTTATTATCCCTTTCTTCGATTCAGAAATTTCTAGTTTTAGGTAGAATTCAAGGAAATTCATGAGTTTTAAGTGGGAGTGAGATAGAAATTTCACAACTTGATTGAATTTACAGTGGAACATGAATGTTCAGAAATAAAATGACATGAATTTTTAATTTTCCCCTGAATGTTCCTGATTTTTCTGAAGTTTCACAGGATAATTGACCTGAAAAATCAATAATTTTATTGACTTTCAGATCATTTGAACAGAAAATTAATGGAATATTTGATTTTTTAATGACAAGATTTCATGAAATTTCAGTGGAACTTGAACACGATAAAAATTTCCGGAATTCGGCATGGAAAATTCATAGGAAAATTTTTAACAGTTTACGTACACACATACACACACACGTACGAACGAGGTATCAAAATTGCATTTTCGGACTTTTTGGATCATACTAGTTCAATATAATATAAAAAATCTAAAACTTGAATTTGAACGATTACAAAGCTTCCACCCGTAAGCAAAAATAATAAAATTGGATGTTTTTCTTCAATTGCTAAAAGAAAGAATCCGTCTCTCGTAAATCGTGGAGAATAATTTACGAATAATGAATAAATAACTCATACCTATTCATGTCTCAATGTCAGGAAAGTTTGCAGTCATGAAGAAAGTTTTCTCCTTTGTTCAGAGTAAAGATAGAGAAATGAAAACTAAAATATTTGTCAAGTGCTCATAAAAAATATTTAAATTTCACGGTTCAGGTGATTAATAGCCCGAGTCGGTAGAAAATTCAATTTCCAGTTGAAAAATTATTGCCAATGCAAACAGCTGGAGCAGTACAATTTCCAAGAAATTGAGAAAAAATTTCATGAACTCAAGTAAGACTGCGCCCTGGAGGTCTAAGAAAGCACCATTACCTCGAAAAGTGCAATTGTCGCCTCGACATGAGAATGAACTTGA